CCAGCCGCTCTGCAGGTGGGAAGGGATGTGCCCACCTCCTCAGGGACATCGTGCTGCGGTGACTGGGAGCCCACCGGGGGGTTTTTCTCCTCTCGGTCCCCATCCACTCCCGAGGCCTTGGTCCTGCTCGCACTTACCCAGGGCCGGGCTGGTTCCCGTCACGCTGACCCTCAGCAGGAGTACGTCCGGACCGTGGAGGTCTCCAGCCTTGGTGACCCAGAGGCACCAACTGGAAGGGAGTCAACGAGCAGAGCGTGTAATTAGTGATGGCTCCAATTAGCCCTCGCCTTCCCACCAAAACATTTGCAGCATCTGTGCGCGGAAGCCCTGTGAAGACGAGGGTCAAAGGACGTTTGGCAGCTCTGAGCTGCCGAGCCTCCGGCGTATTTGCAAAGCTGCCGTTTGCCATCTCTACTCTTGGGCAGCGAGCACCCTGCTCCCCGCGCCTGGGTGCTGCCAGACCCAGGGGCTTTGTCCCAGGTTTCACCGTCCTCAGCTGGGCAGGAACCGCAGCTTCCAGGGAGGGGGTCAGAAAAGTTCAAACATAAGTTTGACGCGCATGGCTGGAAGGAAAACTGTATCTGGAGACAGGAGGGGAGCTGAGCCTGGGGCTGGGAGCTGGAAGGTGAAAGCTGAACTCTCTAGTTCTCATTGGCACGCTCATTTCTGAGCCTGCTGAAGCCAGCTCAGCTCCGCTGGGCATGTGGTGGGTGGCTTGGGACAGTGTGTGGGTGCTTGGCCCAGGGGACAAACTAGAGTGACCTGGCTGGAGCTTGTGCCCAGGCTTGGCAGGGACAAAGCGGGTTGGAACTAGACGATCTTTGAGGTCTCTTCCAACCCATTCTGCGATTCTACGATTCTAAGACACCTCGTAGAAAGGTGTCATGGGATGGAGCCCAGGAGAAGTGTGCTCAGCTCAAACACACGACAGCCAGCACCATGGGCAGCAAGAGCGTCAGAGCAGAGCTCTGCCAGCCCTGTGAGAGTGGCTGCTCAGCAGCGCTCAGGCTGAATTCCGGCCCGTTGGGGATGGCTCCCAAAAGGCAGGAAGGACAAGACTGGCCCAGGCTGGGCTGACAGCCCCCAGTGCTACCCCAGCAGGCTCTGACTTGGGTCCCAAACCCAGGGTGAGTGACACGTAGCCCCACTTCACATCCCAATCCAGCCTGCTCCCTTGTCCTGGAGGCTCAAAACAAAGAAATCACACACCAGATCAGAGTCTGAAATAACCCTCCTGAAAAAAACATGTACAGCAGGCAAGGCTCAAGGATCACAGGCTGAAGGATCCCATTGCTGGTGATCAGCAAGCTCCTCTCCTTCTCTCTCCACTCTCTCTTCTCTCCTCTCTCCTCTCTCCTTCCAATACCTGAAGGGAACCTACAGGAAGGCTGGGGACGGACTTTTTACAAAGTGTCCACTGACAGGACAAGGGGAAATGGGTTTAAGTTGAAGGAGAATAGATTTAAATTAGACCTTAGGAGGAAATTCTTCAGTACGAGGGTGGCAAGACTTTGGGATAAATTGCCCAGAGACGTTGTGGCTGCCCCCTCCCTGGAGGTGTTCAAGGCCAAGTTGGATGGAGCCTTGAGTAGCCTGGTCTAGCTGAGAGGCGTCCCCTCTTTCCTCTTTCCTCTTTCCTCTTTCCTCTTTCCTCTTTCCTCTTTCCTCTTTCCTCTTTCCTCTTTCCTCTTTCCTGTCTCCTGTCTCCTCTCTCTCCTCTCCTCTCTCCTCTCTCCTCTCTCCTGTCTCCTCTCTCCTCTCCTCTCCTCTCCTCATTCTGCACATTCACCAGGAGGTCTGGGCAGGGCCGGCAGAGGACCCTGGGGAGCAGGGGGTCACCTACCTTCCGGGGGCATTTTCTTGGCAGGGGCAGATGGAGGGGGCAGG